ATGGGTGTTTATTCTGCACAGACTGATTTTGTTGAAGGTTAGATCTGTCATAATTTAAACCTCCTCGTTCCAAACCCAAACTTTCTTTTTTGGTCTGGAGGAAAACAAAAGCAGATGACTCTTTTCCATACACACACACAAAAGAACTCTGCCAAGCTTTAAAAATGACAAATGCACAATGAAGATATCATAAAATGGCCCATGCAACTATTGCAAGTCTTAGGTAAAATATCATAAAGACCTAAAGATCTGATGCAAATAGCTCTACATCTCATTTTATCAATATCATCTCTTTATAGAAAACCATAATAATGTACTTCTGCCTGCTTTAGAGGTGGCAATGGAAAAGATGTAAGGTACAGTACTGTAAGATCAAACAATTAGACATCAAAACAAGACCTAATTTACATGTCAATCAGTGTATCCTCTTGCCATCAAAAAATTTTTTCAAACCTTGAGTTATCACAGCCTGATTTGGAAATTGGGGGATCAGGCTTTTAACTACCGCATGAAATGGTTTAACAAACACAATTTTCTTTACCGCAATCTATTCCCTGCTGAAACAAGAAGGTGGGATACAGTAAATCTAAAGCCTCGTCCTCTTTCCAAATAATCAATTTGTCACAGCCGGGCCAAACCTCAATTGCTAGTTGGTTTCAGGTGGAAATTCTCATTGTAGAAAGCATATCCCTTGCAGAACCCATAAGATCATTTATCAAATTAAGAAAACAAAATTTAACATAAAATTACATTTATTTTGACATATTTAGTAGCAACTGTGTAGTAATAATAATACAAATCCTCTAAATCCATAATATTGCTTTCTCCCGTGAAAAGGTCATCTCATCTGAATCAGGAGAGAAATATGCACAGTCAGATCAAGCACCGTTCATTAGCCAAAACAGTTCAAAACAAACATGTGGGTGGAAAAAGCAACAGAATGGTCTATATCAGGGATGTCAAACTCAATTCCTGGAGGGCCGGAGCCCAGCAGAATTTAGATTCAACCCTAATTAAACACACCTGATCCATATAAACAAGTCCTTCGGGTTTATTTGAAAACTACATGGTATGTGTTGGAGCAGGGTTGGAACAAAACTCTGCATGGCTCCGGCCCTCCAGGAATTAAGTTTGACACCCCTGGTCTACATCCATCGCATGTTCACATAGAAAAACAACGCGGGTGGACACAGAAATCAATTCAGTCTGAATGGCTGCTTATTCACAGGAAAGTTAACTTTTTCAAATTAACTTTCAAAATAGTCTTTTGTTTCAGTTGTAGTTGATCGTCCACTTCATCCAGCACAGATTGGTCTCTGTGTTCTTGTTTGTTCTACTGACTCAGAAACTGCTTCAGATGATTCAGCATAGGCGGTGAACCAACTCAGGGTTGTTCTTAAACAATTTGTTCATTTTGAATGAATCTTTAATATGACTCGGGAACGACGAGTTGTCTCAGCGAGGGATTCGTTCATTTTGTATTGACCGCGCATGAGCAACATCCAAAAGGTTATGTACAGGAAACAGAAATGATTAGTTCACCTCCCGAGTCTTCGGGTTCTAGTCTTTCGTTCATCACAGCCACATAGACCAGAAGCAATGCAGTCTGTACCGGAAAGAGAAATTATTAGTTAATCTACCGAGTCTTCGGGTCCGAGTCATTTGTTCTTTTGTCACATGACGTGACAGCAGGAATGGATACAAAAATTAGTTAATAATTCCCAACCTTCATTACTAACTAGTTCATAGTTTGTTTATTTACTTTTACAGTTACGTTGTTTTGTGGTCTCGCTTTATAGCTTTTTATTTCTTACAATTTATAAATTTGTGAATTTCTGTGATGGTTCTTCTTCTAACTAATAATTTCTCTTTCCGGTACAGACTGCATTGCCTTGTGCCTATGGGACTGTTGCGTGATGAACGCACGACTCGAACCCGAAGACTCGGGAAGTGAACTAATCATTCACTGCACTGTGCGCTCATGGTTCACCTGCAGGCGCTACTGTGTAAACTCATAAACAGAATTTAGTTGTTATAGACTCCAGGGCCGGCCCATCGCATAGGAGAAATAGGCAAATGCTAGGGGCGCCATTCTTCCATAGGGGCGCCCAAATGAGTTTTTTTTTTTTTTAATAATATTATTTTAGTTAGGGGTGCACTATATATCTAAATATAATCGATATCGCATTATGGCTTAATGCCACAGTCATATCGCGAAGGTTATGATTTAATTAAATAAAAATACCAGTTTGCGGGTAACGTGTTCGAGTGCAGCCCATGACACACAGCGCTTCACTCTGAAACATGCAGCGCATTTATTTATTAGCTGGCAAACCACCAAAATAAAAGCATATTTGATTTTGAGCAGAGATGCACCGATCGACCATCGGCCATAAATCGGAATCGGACGGTTTTTTTTTTTTATTTCAGAGTCTGTAAACGGTGTTAACAGAGGCCAGAGACGCAAAGAGGAGCATGAATGTATCTCTGAGGGGAACTGACTGTCTTAAGAAACAGTTTAGATGGCATTTTCCTTTCATCTTGCCTCTGTATAATGCATTTAGTGTTTACAGTGGTAATCAAGGAAACAATGCATCACTGCTGTTCCTTAAGCGCCACCTGCTGACAGAGAGTGAATTTGCATTTTCATTCAGCCTATCTGCTGTTTGGTATGTTTTATTTAGCCTAATTTCACAAAGCTAAAGTGAACCATTCTGTTTTTGCTTCAGGTTTTGAAATTATACAGTCTAATTTAGATCAAAATATAGGCTAATAAAGCAACTAACCATATTCTTCATGCACTATATTTTCATTCTTTCTTGTCTTTAGCTTAAATAAAATACATAAAAAAATCAGTTTTGGATTCTGCCATGAAAAGTTAAGATCAGTGAATACCAAAATGTATGAATGTCTGAAATTAAGAAATTAAGATTTAAATGTTAGTATTGTAGCTGCCTTTGGATGATAAAGTTCTCTAATTTAAATAGCTATGAGTTAATAATTTTGTGCAACCATCTTATTTCATATTAAATTTGTTTTATGTCATAAAGCTATGCAGTTTCTGTGTGAATGATCAGTGGTGGAATTGGCTGCGATGCAAGGGGCACCAGCTAAAATCTTGCCTAGGGCACCAAATTGGTCAGGGCCGGCCCTGATAGACTCAACTGATATACACTGTACCCGTGCCCGTAGCCAGCTATGAGGTCACTGAGGTCCGGACCTAGGTACATTTTTCATGTTCAAAAATCAAATTTGCTCTATGAATGACTAATTTGCGTACGTGGTATGAAAATGACCGCTGCAAGATGCTGGCGGAGTGTGCCATATGAGAGAGTTGTGAGTGAGGGCGTGGGCGCAGCCGTGTAGCCAGATCCAGCTATTATAAGTGTCTTTCGACGCGTCTTTTCCACTTAATTTGACACTTTCTTAAGTTAATAAAGTGAGAAGTTGCAGTTTAGGGTTAGCGATATATTTATCTTATCTTATCTGCAAAAGATTTGAACTTTCGGTTTATTTATTTATTTTTATTTCTCGGTTTTTATTTGTTTACATAGCAATATCTGGCAAAACTGCATAACCACGGACAGGTTATTGCAGACAGGATACCACATTCGGTAAGGCAAACGCAGAAAACATCATGATATTATCTGCCAGAAACGTTATAAACACAATAAAAACAGTAGCATTTAACACTAGTACAGATATGTAGAAATTAAATGAAATGTGCAAACACTAGTCATGAAGAAGTCTATGCTATTTCATTAGTAGCTATAGGAGTTACATTTTCACAAAGTCATGCTAAAAACATTCATAAGAGCACTAGACAAAGTTGTCATCTATATAGCAATGAAAACTATAACAGTAATATGCATTGTTGCATGAATAATAAACAACTGACAAAATGATCCACCCATAATACAGACAATTGTAAAGTATCAATAAATTGTGATGCAATAAATATGGTATAATTTAACAAAGTTCATCCCTCCAAAACAGAGAAAACATCTTTCACATACATCTACATGTCTGTCTATTTTAAAGTGTTCAGTGAATATAATGAGTTGTATTTGTAGGGGTTATTAGCCAATTCTTAACCCCAGACCTCACTAATTTTCAAACCCTGGTGATGGCCAGTGTTTTAGAGTAAGAAGAAAAAAATTAATTCACAAGCATTAAAAAAACAGGAAAACATTCTCAAGAAAGCATGTTAGAGAAAGAGAAAATCAATAAAAAGCTAGAACATTTATTGATAAATTGCCAGTTTTTCTTGTTAAGCTGCAGCAACCAGTTATATGAACAAAATGGCAAATCCACTTAAATCACTTAAATAAGTTGTGAATTCAAATGAAATTAGCCACTATGTTGGCAATAATATTGTGATACAAAATAAAACTGATGATTGATATTTCAACCATTAAGAGTGAAACGTGAAAATGCACATATTTTGTCACTCTCAACTGTCTACAGGTAAACAACAGAGATATTTGATGAATCAACTTGTTTGAGTTGAGTTGAGAACCTGCAGCCTATCAACTCCCAGCGCAGATCTTCAATCATTAAACCACTAAACCACAGCCACCCCCAGACGCGTGACGTCCATCCGCGACGCTCCCGAATCGCTGTTGTAACCGGCGGATGCAACACGTCCCTCAGACTCACCGGTGCTGAAGCTGCGCGCATCCCGAAGATTCCAGCATCCCGCGTCCTTTCACAGCGACAGTATGGATCATGATGCCTTTTACCGCCTGATGAAACTTCTCTTCGTTTTGTTTTTTCGCTTAAATCATCACCCTCGCATCTTAACGTGATCATCTCGCGATTTAATATTCTTGGGAATCGGTAACCTGATATAGCCTATCAACTCGGTTTTTGGTAGTTATGCTCGTCGATTTGACTCGCGCAACTGCGCTCAATAAACTGACGCCTTTATTTAGTTGCACTTCAGCATCACCAAAAAGCGCAGAGAGATTTCTGGAGTGAATCACCTTCTGAACACTCAACTGGAGCAGAACCAGTGCCATGGGTAAGAGCATAAAGCAAAGAAACATTTTCTGTCGGTTTGCTAAATGAACGTGTTCTCGCATTTAAGTGCGTAATGGCATGACAAACAGTCTTTCACATTCGGAGCGCATGCAAACCATTGAACTTGAATCATCTGTTGCTAATGCGACAATTGTGTGGTTTTGACGCGTTTGTTCTTTATGGATTTGTGCCCGAGCGTTTGTTTTGTATGCATTTCGATGGGCAATCAGTTTTTCCATTTCTGATTTCAGTCATGTTATTTTCCACCTTCCTGATCATTCATATAGACACATGCATTTACTCAAACGTCTTGTAATTTATAGTGAAACACGGAGCTGAAATGGATAAGCGTTAATGCTTCTGGACTTTTAAATATGAGTCTTTTTGTACAAAGCCAGCTTTATCATACAATTGTAAAGATATTAACATATGATGCAACAAATATATTAACAAAGGCATCTCTTTTTCTTGAGTTTGTCTTCAAAACTGACTTCAGATTTGTAGTTTTCTAATTATTATGGACACAGATAAACGGACAAATAATATTTTTTCTTTAGTGTTGCCCACAGTAACGCGTGCAGCAGTAGATGTGCGTTTCCTAGATGTATAAAGCTTGGTGCATTTATTCTATTAGGGAAATGCCACCTTTTTGCCTTTACTGGTTAATTATAAGCATTTGTCACATAGCAGAACCATCCTATCTAGTTAAATGCAAAAAGGTGACTTTTTCCCTTATAAATTGTAAGCAAAAATGTTCATAAATATACCCATATAGTATCACATCTGCATGCATAATAATAATTTAAATAATGACCACAATCTTACTTTAGATTTTTGCATGGCACAGCTCAAGACATCAACTTCCCAAAAGTATTCCCTGTCAACAACCCTATTAAATGCTTAGAGACGCTTTATGATAAGTCTGAATCATACGGAAAGAGGCTTTTTACAGTGTTGTAATTGGTCTCTTGCTGGCAGTTCAGTGGAAAATGATAGACCTTGCCTTTTGTGTCTTTGCATACTAGGCTGCACTCAGCAGTTGGGCTTCATAATGTTACATTTCCTTGTACTTCCCACTGAAATCCACAAAGCACCTCAATCGTCATTTGAATCAGTGGCCATGTTATAATCAGTTAAGGCTGTGTATTAGAGAGCCTCCATCTGTGGACACTGCTGATTCTTTATGCTCCTTCTGAATAAAGTACAAATAGATGTCCGTCCTGCAGGTACATACTCCTCGGTATAGATCATTAAACTACTGTACTGTATATAGAACCACAGTTCTGCGTGTTCCCCAGATGCACTGATGTCACAATTAGCTTCTAACATTCAAATTTTATATTAGTTCCACAAATGATTCCAAGTATGGGTTTTGAGCTTTATACAATACCTGTAATCATTATAATTCAGATATATAGTCAATTATAATCAAGAACCTGCTTAAAACCAAAATGTATGGCCAAGGCATGATCCGTTTTGAGCTAAACCCGCTATTATGTTGAACCAAACGTTGGAAGAACTCCAAGCACCTATAAAAGGAGCATGTGAGGTCCTCCTACAGAAACTGCACCTGAAAACCAGAAAATTCCCATACTTGGCATAATGCGTGGAGCTGCAGATCATCCTATGATACAATCTTTAACAAATACTCCATTTGAGTCATTTCAGAACTAAACAGTGTTGAATGAAGTATGTTGACATGAATAATTCATTTTCAAACCACAGATATGTTAATGTGAGTGTACGCTTAATGTATGCCAGCGTAACTATGAGAAAACAACAGCTGATAACTATGCTTTATCAAGATTTATCTAATTTAATATTTTTATCAAAATGCATTATCTTAAGGACTCCATTATCTTATGGCACAAATCCAACCGCGTTAAGAATATTTTTATATTCCAGTCATGCACATCAAACTAGCTTTAATATAGTTAGCCATGACTGATTATTTTGCCCAGACTGTAGAAGTAAGTCACAATACAGTTTACTCATTTGGTAAACACTTAGAAGTCAACATATTTTATGTAATATGTTCCTGTTATTATTATTAGTATTATTACTACTAGAGATTCACCCATGAACATTTCTAAATACGTAAATCAAAAAAAAAAAAAAAATCTGTAAACTTTCAGTAAACATATGATTCGTTTCATCTTTTAAACAACTTTCCCTTTGTCTTTTGTCACTTAAACTTTAAAGGGTTAGTTCACCCAAAAATAACAATTAGGCTGTGTTTTACTCACCCCCGAGGCATCCTAGGTGTATATGACTTTCTTCTTTCAGACAAATCCAGTCGGAGTTATATAAAAAAATGTCTTTGATCTTTCAAGCTCTATCATTGCAGTCAGCGGGTGTTGCACTGCTTCAGTCCAAAAGAAGTTAAATAAAAAGCGCCCATCCATAAAAAAGTGTCTCACACGCAGGGGCAGCATTTCCGTATGGCAGTCGCCATACCCTAGCCCAGTCAGGTGTGCCGTGGAAAATTCTAACTCTCTATTATATTTCGTTATTATTATTTTAAATCACTGCTATTGGTCTTCCTTATGTCTGCTTGAGGGTTTTACAAATATTTAACCAATGAAAATCATTCAAAAGAGCTTGTCACTAAACTTTTTAACACTATGGATCCTCAAACTGTCAGCAAAACCTCTTAACTTCACCCTGCTTCCATTCAGAACAAAGTGTGGTGCAGCGCACACAGCCTGGAGATATATCTCGGCTTGTTCGCAATGCAAGGGTAAATAATAAATGATGTTTGAATAAGTATAGCGTTTTCTTCACTAAAACACTATGTCTATAAATGGCTAATGTAGGCTAATTTTGTAGGCTAGGTTTTAAAAATCCTGTGCATATAGCGCTTCATCGTCTATCATGAGATTTTGGCCAAGTGTATTAAACGACATGAAAAACTAAGCGCCCATATAGCTACAATAAATGTTATAACCTGTAAGTTGATGAAAGCGTATAATGCGCTGCACTTGCTGCCTCAGATGCGGCCATTGTAATGACAGACAAAACACAGATCTCCGTCATTCGCTGGTCAAAAACCTTATTAACTCCATTTGAGCTTGATTTTCATAAAATGTTAAGTGCAAGTGTCTGATAAAGCCACATACCAATTTTGACGACGCAGTGTTTAATTATCATTTAAAAAACACTTTTTCCTTTTCTATTTGTTTTATATTTCAGTGCTTAGTAATGTGCAAACTCAAAACAGATCAAATTTGCAAACTGTCACAGATCAAAACAAAACAACGGTCAAGAATTAGAAGTACAAAACGAGGATTTGTAAAGAAGAATATCTGAGGATTTCGATATAAGCCAAGAGGAGACTGGTTTTCCTTTGCTAAAGTAAGGAAACTTTGCTTCCTTTGCTCCTGTAAATAAACGTTGGTTTTCACGAGACTCACTGGCGCATGCGCAGCGCTGACCTCATACGTCATGCTCCCGGAACTGCTTCTGTGTACAACTGCTGGCGCAAGCTAGATTAAAGTGATTATTAAGTTTTGAATATGGATATTTTTCTTACAAAAACGCATCGATTCGCTACAGGAGGCTTTTGTTCACCACCCGGAGCCGTGTGAGACACTTTTTTTATGCATGGGCGCTTTTTATTTAACTTCTTTTGGACTGAAGCAGTGCAACACCCACTGACTGCAATGATAGAGCTTGAAAGATCAAAGACATTTTTTTATATAACTCCGACTGGATTTGTCTGAAAGAAGAAAGTCATATACACCTAGGATGCCTCGGGGGTGAGTAAAATGCAGCCTAATTTTCATTTTTTGGATGAACTAACCCTTTAATGCTAACCAATAGTCAAATAGTTATTTAAGCATACAGTAGTTTTAAGTTACTGTTCATAGGGCTGGTTATCGTTCAGAAAATTTAGTTTCCAATGCTGGTACCTTTATTTCGATACAGATTCCTGAGCGATACTTTTTTGATACCAGTTTTTTTAAATCCATTTTAACAAGATATCCAGCCCTAACTGACAAAAAAGGTACAAAAGAGGTCACTGGGGTGGTACCTTTTTTAAAGGTACATCTTTCTACCTTATTTACCCCTGAAGTATGTACTTTAAAGGTACATATTAGTACTTAAATGGTACATATTTGTACCTTTTGAAAAGGTGTCACCCCAGTGATAGCGTTTGTACCTTTCTTCCGAGAGTGTAGGTCCACCTGTGTAATTATAAAATAAACAATGACGGCAAGTAAAGGTGAATTTTAAAAAGCAGTTTTTCAACTGGGATTAGCAGAAATGCTCTGGAGTGAACTTGACCTTCACGCCTCCATGTCCAAGTCCTCAAAGCCTCCTCAAAAGTGAGTGTTTCAGGAGGGAGTAGTCCTCCACAACCCACTGCAAACTCACATAATGACTCTATTTTACTATGAAATGCAAGTCCAACCCTTTTGAGGCATTGGATTTGCTGTTTCCCTAAATAAATCACACTACAGAAACAAAATGGGTTGCTGAAAAAGAACAACTTACAGTGCAATCAATGTATATTTTCCATAAGCATGTATGCTCTGTGGGATTTGAACCCATGACCTTGGCGTTTACTGCAACAGTTGAGCTATATTGAATGCACAGAGAACATATGGGGTTGAATGCTTGTTAATTTCAGCTTTACCACTGACAAAAAAATTATGAAATTCTCAGAACCACAATATGTTTTCACCTTTTCATCTGAAAGAGTTTGCCCTCCCCATGGCTCTTGGCTTGTATTTCAATCAGATCGGTTTTCCTTAATGATCGTATAACACACAATGGACTCAATTTGGATTAGCTATGCCCTTAAATGTTCAACTCTGAGGACAAAGAGAAAAACGCATTGCAAAAGCACAGCAAACTCCTTGCAAGGGGGGTTCATTGGGAAGGGAAGTCCCTGTGGACAGACAGCCAGAAAAAAGGAAACTTTAATAGACCTCATTGGAAGGTGTTGGGAACTCATTCTGTGGACTGGGAATTGATGCTTGAGTGAAAGTTAATTTACTATTAGTGTTTTTCTGTATTTTCTTATCAAATAAACGCAGCCTTGATAAGCATAAGGCACTTCTTTCAAAAACATTTAAAATCGTACTAATCTCAAACTTTTGAATGGCAGAGTATAAACCAAATTGAGGCTAAACTAATTGCATTTTGATGAAACATTACAAACACAAATAAAGACCAAAGTAAACAGATAAATTTTGATTTCATGTTGAGTTCAAGTAGCCTAATTCAAGAAAATCAAAATCAAAAATCAACATAGTATCCGGATAGTCGAAAAGCACAGCAAAGCTTAAAAGAAACTCTCCCTCCATTATAAACAAATCCGGCAGCTATGCTTTTAAAAACATCCTTATCTGTTCTTGATTTTAAACAGTTAAGTGAGAGTGAGAGGAAAACATTAAGCGAATCAGCTCTGCAAATCTTAAACCTCTAATGACTCTCTAAGGTTTAATTTGCTCATTGATTTCTTTAACAGCCAGACGTGGAGATTGATTGCTAAGGTTCTCATGCAGCCTTTTTTTTAGATGAAGTTTTTTTCCTGTTGTACTAGTTTAATAACAAGCAGTAGAAAATGTACCCAATCCATCGAGTAGCCCACTGCTCATGAAATACCCTAGAGAAAAACCCATCCACATCTCAGTGGGAGTGCTGCTCTCATCAAATATTTTTGTCCCCAATTAAAAGAATGTGCAGTATTAATGGGTCATATAATTACTTATAAAATGTTGTCTTCTTTCTATATAAAAGCCAGTAGGGAATACAGCTAGCTTGCTTGGTGGCAAAGTCTCTTGTTGGAAGAATTACCACATTCTTATGGGTCTTTATCCATGTCGCTAATGATCTCTGCTGCTAAGGGAAGCAACGTGGTCTCAATACCATCTCTCTGTTCCAATAACTAGTCAGCAGGAGATGGGTGACTGGCCTTTAGCCACAGGATGAAACATATTTACTGCCCCAATAGGACACTATTATATAAAATTGATGACTGTGTAAACTGTTTGGTATGCCCCAATGCTGTTGCACATCTCTTCTTGTTAAAGCATCAGCGCAAAGCAGCAAAACAGTGGGAAACTTATTTGTCATGTGTTACTTGCTAATGATACAAGCAAACTTTGAGACGGATGACCCTTATGTTGCCTTTCTCTCATACTTAATTTAGCGTGAAGCCTAAGATGTATTCAGTGTTTGGCTGCTTTGAGCTACATAGATTGTGAATGCTATTTTTAGTCTCCCAACACTAGTTAAATCTTTTGAGGGGGTGTACAAGAAACGACAAACTGTTCCGTGCATATGTTAGATGTATCTGATTAGCTCCACTCTGATAAGTGGATCTCATTGATTTCCATTCATTTAAAACACTTTCTCCACTTCCCACTCGCTTCCATTTTGGCTAAAACCAGGGTACATTAAAAGGTGTAGCGCTAAATGATGGATAATTCCGCTCGAATCCTCTTATTCAATTAGAGGGTCCCCAGTGCATTTTATTTTATTTGATTACGTCTTAATAGCTTGAAAACACTCAGCACACTCTACAGGATGTTCCCCATCCATCACAATCATGAATCGTTTTCTTTGATGATAAAGATGAGGTTGTGCATAATGGATGTGTGCACCCACTCTGTCAATTGCAAACCTGTGCTCTCTAGGGTGAATGCTAAAACTGACCTCAAATGTGTTCTGTCTGTCTCTCCACAGGGCCCTTACTCTGGGAAGGGCGCCTGTCATGTTTTCTTTTCCATGCTTCTGTTCTCCTGCTGCTCAGCAAGGGGGAGCGGATGTGCCCTGTGAGTTGCCGCTGCGAAGGCAAGATTGTTTACTGCGAGTCTGGCGCCTTTCAAGACGTCCCGGAGAACATCTCTCTAGGGTGCCAGGGTCTATCCCTGCGGTACAACAGCCTCTTGTTGTTGCTACCTTACCAGTTTGCTCACCTCAACCAGCTGGTCTGGCTCTACCTGGACCACAATTCCATCAGCGTAGTGGATAGACTGACTTTCCAGGGACTTCGTAGGCTAAAGGAACTAATCTTAAGCTCTAACAAGATTGTGCAGTTGCAAAACGGCACCTTTGAGACTGTCCCAAACCTTCGCAACCTTGACCTGTCCTACAACCAGCTGCAGGACTTGATGCCAGGGCATTTTCATGGACTACGCAAGCTTCAGAATCTTCACCTGCGATCAAACAACATCAAAACCATCCCTGTCCGTACTTTTATGGAATGTCGAAGTCTGGAGTTTCTAGATTTGGGTTACAATCGCCTACGGACTATAACTCGTACAACATTTCTGGGACTGCTCAGGCTGACAGAACTTCACCTTGAGCACAATCAATTTTCCAGGATTAACTTTTTCCTATTTCCACGCCTCTTAAATCTGCAGGCGCTTTATCTGCAATGGAATCGCATACGGATGGTCGTCCAAGGTTTGCCTTGGACTTGGCACACTTTACAGAAATTGGATCTATCAGGCAATGAGATTCAAGTTTTGGATCCTGCTATTTTTAGGTGTTTGCCCAACTTGCATATGCTCAATCTGGAGTCTAACAAGATCAGCAACGTGTCCCAGGAAGTTGTTTCATCATGGATCTCCATTAGCACTATCAACCTGGCAGGAAACATATGGGACTGTAGCTCTAGTATCTGCCCTCTGGTGTCTTGGCTGAGAAACTTCAGGGGAACTAGAGATGCCAGCATTATTTGCAGCACTCCCAAATCCCTTCAGGGAGAAAGAGTCATGGACGCAGTGAGGAACAACTCTGTGTGTGAGGAGATATTCACCGTGGAACCGACCACGGAATTAACTCTTCTTTTGACTACTACTACGACAACTCTTTACGTAACAAAGCCACCTACAACCACCACTACAACCCCACGCACCACAACTAGACAGCTTTCTCAAGTTACCCACGTACAAAGACTGACCCCAAAGGTTTTATTCCCTGTTCAGTCCAACAATGAATTCCAACCACCCCTAACGGTAACACCTAGCAGTCTACCCTTCAGCCCCGAACCTGAGTTTGAGCATATGACCTTCCACAAGATCATCGCCGGCAGCGTTGCCCTATTTCTCTCAGTGTCTTTAATCCTATTAGTGATTTACGTGTCGTGGCGACGATACCCTAACAGCATGAGGCAACTCCAGCAGCACTCCATTCGACGCAAGCGCAGGAAAAAGACTCCAGAGCCTGAGCACAACATCAACTCTCAACTGCAAGAGTATTATCTAAGCTACAACCATGCCAATGCCGAGACCATGGACTCTTTGGTTAACGGGGCGTGCACCTGCACCATCTCGGGCTCCAGAGAGTGCGAGGTATGACCTACCGCTAAAAAAAAAAGGATTTCTCTGCACCAGGGAGTCAGAGGTAAACTTTTTAAGAGCATGACTGCCCGCAAACCTTCTCTCCTTCTTCCTGTCATTCCTTTGAACCACATCTTTGAAATGCTCACATTTAATTGCATGAACAGAGGAATAGTTCACCTAAAAGCAAAAATTCTCTCATTAGTCACTCACCAAGTTATTCCAAACATGTTGTTAATTTGTTTCTGTATAGGAAAGAAATCTCTGAAGGAGAAATGTGAAGAATCTTCACACAAAGACACACAAAGTGACCACATCCAGCAAGCTATAAAAAGGACAACCCCTTCCCCTCATGAAATTAGCATAACGTAATTTGACTCATGCACTATATTCCAAATCTTCTTAAGCATTAACTTGAGAAGAATACAAGTCGTATGAACTTTTTTGGTTCTCTTTCATTTTTGGAGCTTGACAAACATGGCCACTATGAATTGTCAATGGAAAAAATAAAAACTTAAGAGTCTCCTTTCATGTTCTACAGAACAACTAACAGCATAAATGTTTAGAAAGAGTGAATAACGACAAAATTGTCCATTTTGGCCAGTGCTCGAATTGAAATTTTTTTTGATTATACAACCCTTAAGTGCTTTACAACTAGCTCTAAAATTTTCACTTGACGGTCTCCCTCGATTAAACCTAATTCATAGTTAACAATCAGAGCAGAGTAGTGTCATATGTAGTTGCCTTACAGAAACAAAGCCTTCATGACACGAAACAACACTCACAATGATGTTATTGTGAGTCATTATAAGCCTTGCGTTTATCTTCAGACGAGAAGGAACTGAAATAGCGTTCAGTAATTATGTACTTTTTTTTTTTTGTCTAGATGCATTTTGCTGCATGTCTACATGCCCTTTACAAGTACCAGATGTTGGAAATCAATGTACATATTCATGTTTTCCATCACCTTCAATTATTGCCTAGTCTTTTAACTCCTGCTTGGGGTTGCTACATCGTTCGTTTTGATCACATCTTTGTTGTAACGGGTCATCACATATTCAGTTTTGACATTTAATGAGCAGGAGTACTCATTTATGCATCTTATTATTTATCTTTATTTCTCGTGTTTGTGTCGAATTGACTCTGGCCTCTATTATCGTTTTGGGTGATGCAGAATAATGAAAAGAACCTTAATAAAAGCTTTTACAAACATAACCAAATAATGCATGACATTTTGATGGGGAGGATACTTAATTGTACCCAGTTTGGCTTTCTGTCCCATCCCAAGAGATAATCACAGCAATAGTAGGTCACATGGGATGAGATGTGAGGATGCAAGTATCTATCAAATTCTCCATTGTAAAATGAATTGGACTTTAGGTCAGTTATATCCTTTATTTCCATATAACTGAACATCAGTATACATGCATTTAACAATATATAGACTTCTAAAGCTACCTTTTGTCTATTAAATGCTTTGAAGTGCAGATTTTAATTTGATAACTTCTCAACAGATTGTTGCAATCAATTCTGATTAATTTGACAGATTAATTAGCATAATTAACATTCACAACCATAATAAAATGTAACTAACCACATAATCATGAACAGTTAGTGCAGAGCAATAAACAGGCTTATTAAAAGGAAGGGATAAAAACTTCCCATCCAATCACAATTTCATCTGTATATTACATTATAGCCAAATTACACAGATGCCAATATGGGAATATGCATGAATACACATACACAAAACTACACACGGTAAATGTCTGCTGAAAGGATAAAACCATTGCATTTAAAAAAAAGACATTTACACTAACCAAAACAGTAAATCTTCCTATTCCTATCCTATTCTTGATGTCCAATGCAGTGAAACCAGCTGAGAGCCACTGCCTTAACTCGTGTCACCATAATGATGAAAGTGACACTACTGGCTTGTCTCCCATTGCTGATGAGTGACATTCAGAGAATGTCACATTTTACTGTGCTTGATAGTTTCATAAAGATGTCAATCATTTCCCCACCAGTCTTGAAAGCTCCCAAATTATAGAAATATACAGTGTGGCATATGCTCATATGCATCCTGCTGAAGGCATTTAGAGCTTATATTACCCCTCAGGGACCAATAAACTATGTGATTCATTTCTCCATCCACCCATACAAAAAAAATGGTCTAAAACACGTGGGGGTTTTTTTGTTGCTTTTTTTTTAGGAGGCTGTATTTAGGTTTTTTAGGATCAGTACTGTAATTGTTCTGAAACTGATTTGTAACACCATCCACAGAATGAAGTTTGCGGTTGCATAAACATCATATTCACATGCTGTTCATGTGCTAATTTTTCAGTCGATCTCCCGTACAGTTGACAGTTCCCAATTCAAAACCAGCTGTCGTTGTTTCATGTTTTGAATCATTAGGACAACCTGGTGGAATATGCATCTTGAATTTGAAAGGCATAAACACTGTTTGTCAAGCTCTGCTTTAAACTGTACTTCAGTAGAGTGACTAACTTTTTCAATCTTCTGGTGACCCTAATAATCGAGATTGTTTTCCTAGTCTGTCAATGGCACTTCCACCTCGGCTTCACACTTCTAATCTCACCATGAAATTGCTTCTTTTTTATTTTTTTATTTGTTATCCCTGCTGAAGGTTCCTAAGTGGATACTTGCTTGTTTACTTCTGCCTCTGATAAGGATATTTTGCCTCCAGAGCCATGAAGTAAAACGCACTTGGAGTTGCATATTTGACCTCGTTTTTTAGACCAAATGCATATTTCTTCATGGAAAACAGCAGGTCAGATTTCAAGCAAGGTATATATGCAGCAGGTTGTCACAACATGACTTTTCTAGAACAAATCTCAGTTTTTCACTGAGTGAATCTCACAAAGCTAGTAAAAAACATGTCAGAGTCATAAAAAATAAGGAATCGTATTTTGCATTAAAAAAAATTAAGCACATTTTAGAACCATTTGCATTGTGAACTTTATTTGTATGAAAATTAAATGAATTTAAACAGAAAATTCACTCTAAATTGTAATGTAGACACATGCATTTTCTGTAAAGCTGCTTTGAAACAGTGCATATTGTGAATTGAACATTATCGTTACCATAATGCAGTACAAAAATGTGCATAAACCCACAAATAAAACCACAAATAAAATGTGATAAATGTCTTCGTGCAAAATACAATTTCTCTCTTTATGTATGTATATTTTCAATTTAAAATACTGGCAAATATTGATCAAAACTAGGAATCTTTGTGAACAGGCCTATTTTGATTGTGATTGTGGCTCATGCTGATCATTTATGCAACAACAGTATCCGTTAAGTGATAACTCCATCACTTCCTGCAACAAAACAGGCCTAACAATAAGTGTTCTACATTTGCACTTTAAATTAAAATGCATGTAGCTCTTCCCAGGAGTAAGCCAAGGACGGTGTTTACTCAGGCATCATGTTTATTAGCAATCTTAAAACAACAGGCTAAATGGATGAGATAAATAGGCAAAGTGTATTAATAGACAGCAGTTGGCACATTTTTCAGAGCCTGCAGCATTTTCTGAGGGAGAAAGCAATGCGTGTTTTGTGTCAGGAGCCTGCAGACTGACAGATCAGAGCGAAGATGCTAATATTACTTGAATGTGCATTACATAGGAAATGGATTCCACTGCAGGGTGAAGGGGTTTGTTTCATGAGCTGTGAATAATCAAATCAGATAGATCAATGCAAATTAAAAAAGTGTTTCTGTATCATATATCATATTTTAAAAGTAATTACTGTAAAATCTGCAGTCGGGTTAGGTGACTCATCACTGTCATATAAAATGTGTAGCATTCTGAGAAATATTAAGTGTCTTCACATAAGAAAGTCAACCTGCGTGTTGTCATATCCCGAAGAAGCCATTCATATCACCTCAGAATATTGCGTTATCATATGTGTGAGAAGAATAAAACATTACAGATGATTCTACACTGTGCTTCCGTCCTCCCTCGAGTCTCACACTCTTTCTGAGAGTCTTAAAATCCTTGTATTTACTTGGATCAAAAGTCAATATGAAATCCATCCTGACTCCACTGAATGTTATAAAATCTAATATGATTTTTTTTTTAAGTTAAGGCTGCATTTATATGATCAAAAATACAGTAGAAACTGTGAACATATTGTTACAACTTAAAATAACAGTTTTCTATTAAATCATTCTAATATGCCGATTTGCTGCTCAAGAAACATTTCTTCTCATTATCAATGTTGAAAACAATTTTGCTGCTTAATTTTTTTTTTGTTGTTGTTGTTGAAACCGTGATACTTTTTTCACCTTTTTTTCAGGATTCTTTGATGAATATAAAGTTCAAAAGAACAGCATTTATTTGAAATAGAACATTTTTGCAAAATTTTATTTATTTATTTAAGTAGGCCTATTTACTGTCACTGTGATCAATTCAATGCATCCTTGCTGAATAAAAGTCATCACAGTCATCAGCAAAATCAACTAAGTCTGATGTCATCAAGCATTCTTCATTTTTCAACCCCTCCTCCATCTGTCATATATTGTAGGGACACTTTTTACTTCAAACAGTGTTTCAACCGTGGAAAGACGTCAATATACCAGCTTGTAAACAATGTTACGTAACGTAATTTACTTAAAAATAAATAAATAACTAACATAATCGGTGACCATAAACTCGCTAGAAACATTTACTCTAGAGAGGAGCATTTTGCTAAATATATGCACCAAATAACATATTCATTATAATTTTTACTGTTCTTCAATACTTAATTTATGTTTGAATATATCTGTCAAGTTTTAATTACAGCCACCATTTAAAAGTTTGTATAAAAAAAAAAAAACATTTGGACTTGAAATATAGGAAAGTATTATAACTTTACTATTATGAACAATGAATTGCGTGTAATTTAAGTGTTTGTATACAAATCAGTTCATTTTAACCATCAATATTATAGTAATGTAGTACCAACTGACTTCCATGTATATTTTACAAAATTAGCTGAAAGATTTTTTT